AGACTGGTAAGATAACCATTTGATAGGGGGCACCGCGATGATTCACGGGGCCCCTCCTTGCTGTGGGAGCCGCTCTTTGAGCACTCCCTCTTTCGTCCGTGTGAAGGATGGTCGTCTACCTCCCGTGAAGTTAATACATCACCAAAACAGTCTCACCCGATAAATAAGTGGCGTAGGCCGCAAACATCTGTTACCACCTCTACTGCATTCATGCCGGCGTACCGGCCGATGCCCGCGGATTTCCTGTTGTGCTCTCCGATTTGACTCCGCTTACTTTGACTTGGAGCGCGTTGTGTGCACACAAGTTGGGTGTCAGCCGTCCCACCAGCCTTCCCTCCATTTTTCGAAATCACATGGAACTTCTTTCCGGGGAATCGTTCACCCTCAAAGCATTTGAATTGGAAACCTTTCAACAGCGCAAACCCACAGCGGTCTTTGCTCGCACTTCGGCACCAGTTGCGGAGGAACGCCGTGCTGCTCTGTGTGTTTTTTGGTCGGAAGAACTCGTTTCTCCATGTAACACGGGTCCGTTTGTGCTAGCTTCTACTGCTGTTATGCGTGGCATGGAATGCTTTTGTTTGCTTTTTCTGCTTGGTTGGATGCGTTTCAACCTCGTGTGCACCAAGCTTCTATCACTGGGCGTATGCTATCCTGTGGGTATCTCCGCCTTTCGCATGGACCTCGGCTTGCTTTTCTTGCACCCAGCTTTACTTCTTCTGCTCCTCTTGGTTCTGCTGCCTCAACTGCGGTTGGTTATGCTACATCTGGTGTTCCTGGCCCTGCTGCCCTTTCCACAATCGATCGTAGCTACGCTCTCTCTGGCCCTGTCCTTGTTAAAAAAGAGGACAACATGTCCAGCGGCAATGTTAAACTCCTGGGCGACAATGTGGAAATCCTGGATTACGAAGCCGAGGGCGAGACTCCCACCGCAGAGCAGTTTCCAGCCGCCGGAGCGGGAGACGAGAGCCGCCCCATGCCCATCGTTTTCACCGTCGATAATTTGCTGGCCAACATCGCCACGGCAGATCCGGCGGAAGTGGAGCGGGCCTACAACACTGGACGTATATCTCTGGAGGATATTGTCGTAGCGGCCCATCTGTCGTCTGATTTTCCCCTTTTCGTTCCTGCTTTCTCGCTTTCCCCGGGAGAAAAATTGCTCCTCTTACCCCACGATGAGTTTATGGCCTATCAAGCGTTGAACGAGATGTGGTGCAACGGTCTTGCCAGAAAGGTCGCAGACGCGGAAGCACGGGAGAAGGCGGAGCGCGAGGACGCAGAGCACGAGGAGGAGCGTGAGGCTGCTCGGGCTGCTGCTGCGAGGAAGCAGGCGGAGGAGCGTGCGGTTGCTCTGGCGGAGCACGAGGCGTATATTCAAGCTACTAGGGTGAAGCAGGGGGCGCTCCGATCGCGGCTGGAGGACCTGGAGCCCCGTCACCATGACCCGCTTGCAGCAGCATTGCCTCCGCCCTACCCCCGTCGTCGTATTATCGACTTTCCCCAATCGCAATCCCAGGTGCCCCTTGATTCCCGTAGTACCGCCTCGACGCACGAGAACGAGCGGGAGGTGGCGGCTACTCCGGCGAACGAGAAGGGGCGAGAGCTGGCAGCTACTCCGACGAACGAGAAGGGGCGGGAGGGGGCGGCGACTCCGGAGTTTTCGGTGACGTTGGGTCTTCCGGTCGGTTCTGAAGACGGAGCATCGTTTGCGGCCGCAACCACGGGGTACGAGTTCCATGTTGGCGATACAGCGTTCCTGTCCCGCTCACTGGAGATGCCAGCCGAAGACGTAACTTTCCACGACGAGGATAAACTGGAAGCTCTTTTTGCATGGGCTGGCGTAAAACATCTCGTCCGTGCTCAATTTCCCCACTCTCACACCGTTGCTTTCGGGTACATTTATTCTGCCCCCTACATCACGAAACTTCTGCCTTCTTCGCGGCAGTCCATGTTCCGGCTTTTGTTCGCTCTCCGTCGTGCCTCTTTTACGAGCGGTCTTCAAGGAACGTCGGTGGTGACTCAAGATGGAGGACTCCAGCTGCCTCTTGCTCGTGCTGCCTCTAACAACGACTTCAAGCACGATCTGCAAGCCCCCCGGCAGGCATCTTCCCGCCCTGCACATGGTCCTAAAGGAGATAAGGACTACAGTCGATCGGCGGCTCCTGCGTTTAAGAGCTGGAAGAACCGTTGGGGTGACCAAGATTCGACAGCCAAGAGCGGGACGGACGACCACCGCCGCTCCACCCAGTCTTCGCGAGGGCGCGGCACCGGAGATGGCGGGCGAGGGCAAGTCGTGGGGACCCAGCCTACCAGGTCGTCGCCGGCGAGCCGCCACCGCCGAAACAGGAATCGGAGCGCAGAACGTCATCATTGCACCAATCCTTTGTCTAGGCGTGGGCGCAGCCGGAGCGGAGACCGTCGTGGGAGAAACACGACTTCGTCTAGGCGTAGCCGCAGCCGGAGCCAGAACCGGAGAGGGGGCAACAGCAGGGCGACCAGTACTGACAGCAGTCGCGGCGGAAAAGGGGGACGGAAGTCAGGCCACGGGAACAGGCAAGTTTTGCATGATCGGGGTGGTTTTCGTAGCTCTGGGTTGTTGGGGGAAAATAAGGATGCTTCAGAAGACGGTTCTCTCTGTTCTTCACCGCTTGTTCTACGCCCGCCCGCTGATGTAGGCCAACCGACCATGTCTTCTTCGGCGTTCAAGCTTGCCAACATGCAACTTCGTGAACATTCAGCCGCTGTGAAAAGCCATGCCCCTGCCCATGCCGTTATGGATCATCCTACATCTTCCTTGCCCTTGGACGAACGTGTTGAGTCACCACGCCATGCTGCACACACACCTCGACTTCGGCTTCCCGTACTGAAATGCTGTTGCAATAAGTACTCACTCTCCTGCGAGCAAATCAAGCTGTGGATGCTGCTGCCGACGCGAATGTACAACCTCCTGTGCCCTCCCACGCTCCTAGCGTGCCACCACCTGCCCCATATTTTCCCCCACGAACGCATCTGACACCGCTGCAAGACCACGCTTCGAGCTTCTCGGGAGCTCCTGTAGGGCGCGATGTTCGTACCGAAACCGCTGCCAGAGCCACGTCAGGATCATCGTCATCAGCCACGATGTCGGCGACAGTACCGGTCGGACCTGCGGTGGTACCGTCAGCGTCGGCAGCCCCAGCCCTGTTGCAACAGCCTTTGGTGGTGTCGCCCCGCCCCCTCCATCGTGCGTCTATTCTGACTGATCCTAGCTCTGCGACCGGCCACATCGTCGAGCCACCGGGTCAAGCGACATCGCCATTGACTCAGGGCAATGCTGGCTTGCCTTTGTTCCCAATGGGAGCGAAAGCGAGGCAGGAGGCTCTGGACGCTGCGAACGCCGCTACAGCGGAGGAAGACACCATCCGCATTCAAGACAGGATGGACAAAGCTCAAGACGGAACAACTTTATTGTGTCACACGCTTGCCCCTCGGTCCTGATCCTGATGAATTTGCTCATTTCGCGTCTAGCTGCAAGGGTGTGGTCACAGAGATCCTCAACAAAAGCGACGTCAAGCGCAAGCAGACTTTCAATTCCTCTACCTGGGTCACCGGATGGCTTCCGTTGTTGCGCAAACGTGTCCGTGCTGCTGTCGTTGAAGGCCAAACCACCAACCGTGCTACGCTGGAATTTCTTGATGCCACCTCCCTACAGGTAGAAAACCATCTGCGCAAGGAACCGGCAGGGCCCTCGACGTACACCTTCTTCATCCAGAAATTGGCGGCTGCCTGGGACACTCAAGACAAGAGCTCGGGGATTGATCGTCTTCGCCGTTTTGGCGTATCCAACGGCGAGACTTACGGAGAATACAATGGTCGTTATACGGCTCTGGCCATGACCGTCATGGTTTCTCACCACGCGTTCAAGCCTTCGCNAAACGTGTCCGTGCTGCTGTCGTTGAAGGCCAAACCACCAACCGTGCTACGCTGGAATTTCTTGATGCCACCTCCCTACAGGTAGAAAACCATCTGCGCAAGGAACCGGCAGGGCCCTCGACGTACACCTTCTTCATCCAGAAATTGGCGGCTGCCTGGGACACTCAAGACAAGAGCTCGGGGATTGATCGTCTTCGCCGTTTTGGCGTATCCAACGGCGAGACTTACGGAGAATACAATGGTCGTTATACGGCTCTGGCCATGACCGTCATGGTTTCTCANGGTTTCCCACCACGCGTTCAAGCCTTCGGATGCGCAAGTGCAGATAGCTGTTCGAGACTCCATGTTGAAGCAGTTTCCGGTAGTGTCTGGGCAGGTGTACAAGGATGAGCAGCGCTCCATGGAAGCCTCTTTTGGGCGACATGCTTCGTGTCTGGATGATACGAGGGATGCGTTGGAAAAGCGTGCGTTCGCGCACACGCCGGCGGTGCATGGAGACGATTTCTTTTCGGTATCTTCCACGAATGCTAGGAGTTCGTCTGCTATTTCGCGTGCTGTAGCTTCTTCGGCGTTGCGGTCGACGGGTGACCCCTTCGTAGAGCCAAGGTTTTTCGGGCGCCGTGATGAGTGTTGACCCTCTACCCAATGATGATCGGGACCCTTTTCTGTTGCACTACAGTGACCGGCCGTTGCAAGGACACTTCCAAGAGGTGTACAACGTCGCTAGTGAGATGGCTCTAACCAAGAGTGATCCGCCATTGTTCACCCCCTTGGTGTCAGCTGAAGAACGCCGCAACGCGCTTCGACTGTACAAGGGC